TTTTTATTTTGTATTTCTTAGTGAATAGCACAATGGTTGTTTTTGCTGGATTTATTTTCAGCCCAACCGAATTGCACCATTCTTTAGTTAGTTTTAAGCCTAACTGGATTCTTTCGCACAGAGTACTCTCATATTTTCCTCTGCAGATAATTACCACATCATCGGCGTACCCCTGGATTTGGAAGCCATTCCTGTCCAGTTTTACCAATAGTTCATCCACTACCATACTCCACATAAGGGGTGATAATACTCCACCTTGTGGGCACCCTCGCGAAGTATTTGCAAAAATATTACCATTGCTGGTCGGAATTTCTACTCTCCTGGTGCGAAGCATATTGCTCATCCAGCGTGAGAGTGTGCCATTGATTCCTCTTTTAGAAATAGTTGAGTTTATAACCTCATGTGAAGTGTTATCAAAGGCTCCTTCAATGTCTAGGAAAGCGCAAATTGCTATCTCTTTCTTATCTATGCTGTCCTGAATCGTGTTACTTAGTTGATGCAGGGCTGTTTCTGTCGACTGCCCTGCCCTATAGGCATGTTGGCGACTGTATAGTGGAGTTACTTTCAGTGTAGTATTCCTGATATAGTTATCCACAACTTTTTCTACTACTTTAAGTAGGAAGGATGTGAGGCAGATTGGTCTGAAGGATTTCGGGTGAGTAGGATCTCTTTTGCCCGCCTTCGGAATAAAGACCACTTTTGCCCTTCTCCACATGTTTGGTATGTATCCCAATGCAATACTGACTCTGGCTATTCTAGTTATTGGACCTAGTAGCTGTTCAATTCCTTTTTGAAGTAATGCCGGAAAGACACCATCAATACCTGGAGATTTCAGTGGCTTGAGCGAATTTACCGCCCACCTGATTTTAGGCATTGTGATTATATTTTTGGCAAATTTCCAATCATCCTTCTTTACTGTTTTAGGGGGTTCAGTGTGTTCTGATTCCGTCCCTAGAGTTGGAGAGGATCCTGGGAAGTGTACGTCCAGAAGCAGTTGTATCTTCTCTTCTTCACCTTCGGTGAAACTTCCATCTTCTCGCTTGAGATTTGTGGAGGTGAGGCTGCTGCTTTTTGCAAGTACCTTGTAGAGTCTTGATACCTCCGTAGTGCTTTCTATGCTTTCGCAGAATTTTTGAAAGCTTCTGCGTTTAGAGGCCCTAATTTCTCTATTGTACAAAGTAAGTTTTTTCCTATATTCTGACCAGTCTCCTGTTCGCTTTGAGTAGTTAAAAAGTCCTCTAACAGTGTTTCTTAGGTTTTTAAGGTCATTGTTCCACCAAGGCACATCCTTGGTGGAGTTAATCAGGCTTAATGGACAGCTATCCTCATATGCATTTAGTATGGCCCCATTAAGGTTTTCTAGGTAATTTTCTAATTGAATTTCATTCTGAATGATTTCATCTAGCCCTAATTGGACAAGATTGTCTTTCAGATTTTCCGTGTAGTTCTCCCAATTTGTTTTTCTTGGGTTCCTTAAAATTTTTTTGTTAATTGGTGAACCTTCAATGTCGAACCTTAGAATTCTATGATCAGACATAGATGGTTCACTGGATACTCTCCAGTTTTTCACAAGCTCACAACCTCGAGTATTTCCTATAGTAATATCTAGGACCTCTTTGCGTGAGATAGTTACAAATGTTGGTGTATTACCTACATTACATATTTCTAATTTTTTACTAGTTATAAATTCTAAAAGGTACTCACCTCTTATATTGGTGTTAGTGCTTCCCCAAACTTCGTTGTGTGCGTTGGAGTCGCAACCGAGTATAAGAGGCAATTTCATTCTCTCGCAGTAGTTTACCAGTTTATCGACCTCTGCAGATGGTACCTGAGTGTCGTCTCCTGGTAGATAACCTGTAGCTACGACTACGTTCCGTAGAACTCCGTTGATGTTGGCCGGAATCTGTATGGCAACGAGGTCCCTGGAGAGAAATTCTGAAAGACAGATAAAGTTGATATTAATATTCAATAAAATGCAGGTTCTTGGTTTATCACATCTTACATCCCAAATTGTCTGCATATTCTTTGCAGTCAAACCACAGATTCGACCCCTGTAAATCCAGGGTTCTTGGACCAGCACTATGCTCAGGTTCGATTTGAGCGTAGCCCTTGCAATAACTGCCGACGCAGCTTTTGCATGGTGGATATTTATTTGGGCGATTCTAGTGCTGGTCATCAGGTGGTTATTCCTCCTTCGTTTCTTCTATCAGACCGTCGTCGATGTCTGACAGAAAGATTCTTTCGGAGTCTTCCTCGGACGCCAGGTTCAGTAGAGAGAGATCTAGATTCTCAATGTCCTCACTCTCGTGAGGTAGCACGCTGATATCTTCAATCTTCTCGCTCCTGGTCGCCTCCTCCTCCACTAGTTCCGCAACAGTTGCAGGTATCGTTCCTACAGCTGGTGTATTTTCCCCAGCTGAGTTACTTCTTTCCTTGTTGTCTCGTCCCTTATGCAGGTGAATTGGGACGGAACTGAATCTGTAGAAGATCCTACAGCCGTTGTTTGTTATGGCTTCCTGAGACCGGTTGTCAATCCCGATTGTTAGGAGTTTGCCATTTTTCAGATCCTTGCTGCTAAAAACTCTCCACATCTGAGTATGTAGACCCTCATTTTGAGTTATGAGCAGTTTTAGCAGCTTTTCCGTGTCGACCCCTTTAGCTCTTGGGAGGTAGACTGTCAACATGTGTAATTTCGGTATTTTGTCCCCGACACACGTGGTGAGTTCAGCGCCTTCCCATCCGTTCAGCTTAGGTGCCGTTCCATGGATAAAATTAGCCGCATCCTCGTCTACGCAGTCAACCAGTATAAGTCCTGGGCGAAAGTGTATCCCGCTAAATCGTAGCTTGGCATCCCATCCTTTATACATCTCCTCAATGAGAAGTTCCTCGATTTTACCTTGCTCCTCCCTAGAAAGAGTAGATTCCGGGTAAGATTTCGGAAGAATTGCTATTCTTAAGCTCTTGGCTACATTAGCGTAACTGCTGCCCGATATTATTTTTCTCGGTTGTTTTGGTGCTGTCATTTGCGTACCATCCTTTGCTTGTGGAGGTTTCTCATTCCCTCTTCTTTTCTTAGCTGATTGATGATCGATCGGACTAATTTCTTGGGCAGACCTCTTCTTAGAGTCTTGATTGCCCCTCGGCCGATTGAGCGCCTTTTCCTTGGCTGCCTCCGGTGCTAAGCCTTCTTTGAGATAGCGCAGGTACCATTTTGTACCCGCACCGCTCAAACCAGTAGATTTCCTGGCGTCGCGAAAGCTTTGGCCGGAGTTTAGTCCAGTGCTTGTCGAGGGCTGTGGTAGTGTTTCGATCGTTACATCTTTTGGTGCAACCTTTGAACCCAGAGTTCCTTGACTTCCTTTTCGTAACGAAAGTTCCGTTTTTGATTCAGTTGGCAGAGAGCTAGTATTGTTCCTAGCTTCTTTGCCCTCAGTACTTTTTTCCGCTTTCCGTTTTGGAAAGGGTGCCTGGCGATCGGTATGTTGGATATCAGACTCCGACCGATTTACCAGTTTATTTGCAGTGTGTGTTCCTGCTGGTTTTTTTATATTGTTTTTATTATTATTATTCAAATTATGTTCCATTAAATTCCCACGAGTGTGGGGGAAAGGAGGTCCGCCGTGTCATAGCCCCCGATAACACGGTAAGCCCACAGTTACTCAATGAGGCGGGCAGGTATCATTGAGGTGCGACGCTAGAATACAGTCTGTTACCCCCGACTGCAAACAAGTCCGATGAACACGTGCAAATTCCGGATTGGGGGGGAATTATTAATATAAGTATAATATAAATTTATAATATAATAAAATATAAATTTCAATTTTTCTCAAGAATTTATCAAACAATAAATTTTTTTTGGGCGTCCTTTCGCGTATTTATTTATTTTATTTATTTAGCATAAGTTTGTTATTTAATTACACAATTACACAATTTTTCAAATTTGCGATTTGTAATTTGTTTAGCTATTCTACCCGTTTGCAACACTTTTTTGTAAATTTGTTTTTGAGCTTTTAAGCTTTGTTTGCTGTCTCTGTCAGCTGTTTTCAAGTGTGTGTGAATTTGGAAAAAAGTAAACAAATTCGAAAACAAAATCAAAATTCACTTTTTTCGCAAAAAGAAATAAATATAATAATATTTTATTTTATCGGGCACTATTACTTTTTTATTAATATTGTTTAAGAGTCACTGTCTCGATTATTTGTGAGTTTAATATCACTTTTTAAGTTTTTCGCTTAGAAAACACTGAAAGTTGCGCAGTGATTTTTTTGAGCGCCAATGCTGAACACCACTTTGAAAATATGTCATATACATATAGTGCCATAAAAAACCATAAAAACCATAAAAAATCATGTATCGTTAACTAATATGATAACAATAAAATAATAACACATAAAATAATTTCAAAATTTTTCCTTTATTAGTTACAAGCGTAGTCTTTTAAATTTAGTCTTTAGTGATGGTATTCTTCGCTGTAATTTTTAGGAGATGAAGGTTTACAATTGGGAGATGAAGGTTTCTGTTTTTCCGGGGGATAGAGAAAAAATTTTAAATTTTAAATTTTTGACATGGACTCGGTAATAAAATACAACCATTGTAGAATAGTAATTTTAAATATTTTATAATTGAAAATTTATATTTTAATAAATTTAAGAAAAATCACAAATTTTTAATGTGAACCTAAATTTGATGCAAGTTTAATATAGACCGTTAGATATGTAACATTGTGTGCCACAATGTTCTTCATAGGGGAAGGTTTGTTGTGAGTTAAATATTTATTTTATTTAATTTCACGGTTTTGGCAGTTTTTTCGTAATATAGTGTGTAGAAAATATAGTTTTCACATGAAATAAAATACAACTGTATGCTGCGAGTGTGCATTTATTACTGCTTTTAACAAAAAAGAATAATTCAATAGTAAGTATAAAGTTAACAAAAAAAGAGATTAAAATATTAATTTATGATAAGAGATAAGTGATATTTATGTTATTAAGAGATATTTTTTACATCCTGGGACCCGGCGAATCGCATATTAATTCAAGCGGATATAGTAGTTGAATAGGTCTTCTCATAATTTTCTGGTCTTTGAGTCTGACATCGCACGCTCTGGCACGCCCATCTCGTCCAATGTAAGTAGCTACCACCACTGCCATTCGCCAAAGAAGTCTTGATTGATGTTCATCTTTGACCAATACTACATCTACATCGCCAATATTTATAGATTTTGTTGGTTTAGACTTATTAAGATGAATTGAGCGTAATTGAGTTAAGTATTCGTCCTGCCATCGTTTTAAGTAACGCTATAAAATATAAGTTCTGGATTGCCACATTTTTGCTATAGTGCTGCCGTCAGTCAAGAAATTTTCTTTGCTTAACACACCACATTCTCCCAAAAAATGTGCAGGTGTTAACGGCGCCAAATCGTTACAGTCAGTAGTAATATAGGTGAGTGGTCTTTGATTTACCACACTTTTTACTTCTGTTAGTAAAGTATCCATTTCATAAAAAGTCAGCCTTGCTTTCCCAATTGCTGCCTTTAAACAGTTTTTTACAGTTCGTACAAGCCGCTCCCAAAATCCACCCCACCACGCTGCACGTTCTGGAATAAACTTCCACTTAATGCCATTGGCTACAGCAAATTGGTTGATTCTGGTTTTCTCCATTAGTTGTTCAAGCTTTTGCACTTCCATACAACTTCTTTTAAAAGTTTTCGCATTGTCTGATATAATAATAGAGGGGGTGCCACGCCTTGCAATAAATTTTCTTAGTGCGTTTATACAGCTTTCAACAGTTAAATCTGCTACCAGCTCCAAATGGATTCCTCTAGTTGCTGCACAGGTAAACAACATTATATACGCTTTTTTAAAATCATTTTTGTTGTCAGTAGAAGTTATATATAACGGACCAGCAAAGTCTATGCCAGTGGTTACAAATGGTTTGGATACAGTGACCCGTTCGATAGGTAAATCCGTCCAGTTTTCAGATGCATTTTTCCCATGCAGCCTTTTGCAAATTATACACCGCTGTACAACGCTTTTAATAAGTTGCCGGCCTTTAACAACCCAAAATCGCTTTCAAATCTTAGCTAAGGTAGCATTAATTCCACTGTGCATAAACTTTTGGTGCGCTTCCAAAACAATCAACTTAGATAAATATGACTCCTTTGGTAATATAATTGGATTGCTTAGATTTTCATACTCAGTCGTTGGTAAACGACAAGAAAGTCGCAGTAACCCATCTATTAAAACGGGATTCAATTGTAAAATTTTTGATTCCGCTCCAATTTTTTGTCCTTTCTTCAACGATATTATTTCTGACAAAAAATACTCACTTTGTGCACAACCAATCCAATAAACTTCCGCTTTATTTAATTCCTCTAGAGTCAAATCATCAATCTTCTCCAATTCAGTATTGATAGATTGCTGAATTCCTTTATTTTCCGTAAATTACTAAACTTTTGTATATCAAATATAGTTTCCTTAGATATATTGCAAACATTCTCTTCTTAAAGTACTTTTGTGATAAGAGTTGCGCTATCCTCAATTTTGCTTATATTCCATTCGTTGGTTTCCATGATAAGCCATGATGGACCCCATTTCCATAATTCTGACTGCATCAATTGTTTGGCTTTTATACCACGAGTTAACAGATCTGCTGGATTACATTTGCCATCACAATGACGCCAGTCATATACATTTGTTAGTTTGTTAATTTCGCTTACTTTTGAGCTGATATTTTGTTTTACTTGTTTACCGTCTCCAGTTATCCATTGCAGAGCTATACTTGAATCTGTCCACATGTTAATAGAAGAAAAATTTATGTTTAACTCAAGCTTTAAAAAATTTGCTAATCTGGCTGCAATAAGCGCGGCTGTTAGCTCTAACTTTGGTAAAGTGAGTTCGCTTTTATTTTTATTTTTAATAGGACTTACTCTGTTTTTAGAACATATAAAGCTTGTAAAAATTTTGCCACTAGACAAAATTTCTCGTAGGTATGCAACAGCTCCGTATGCAATCGGGCTCGCATCTGCAAATACATGTAGCTGAATTGTTGACAAATTGGATCTTACCAGGCATCGACTAATAGTAAAATATTTTAAATTATGTAAATCATCACACCATTTATTAAAATCATCCGCTAAGCTTTCAGGTAAGGTAGAGTCCCAGTCTAAATTTTCTTTCCATATCCTCTGCAAAAGTGTTTTGATTTTTACAGTAAACGGACCTAAAAATCCTAAGGGATCATAAACTCCAGCCATAATCTTTAATACATTGCGTTTAGTAGGTCTTAAATTCCGAGAAATCTCTATACAGTGATCTAAATTTATAAATAAATTATCTTCATAAATGTTCCATAAAACGCCAAGCACCTTTTGTATCGGATGCTGCTCTTCATTATTTTCTTCAAATTTTCGTCGTAAGTCTTCGCTGTTGGAGGTCCATTTCCGCAAATTAAAACCACCTATTTTCATTATTTTCGTTGCAATGAGGTATAAATATTCAGCTTCTTGAACAGTTGATATACTAATTATTAAGTCGTCTACGCAAAATGAGTTTTTTAGTTTGTCACATATTAAACCATATTGCTCAACATTGCCTTGCAGATGTTGCTGCATTGTCGACGCTAATAAGAAAGGACTAGATGTTACACCAAAAGTTACCCTTGCCATTCGATAAGTTGCAATTTCCGCTGGTTTGTTATCATCTCTTAAATTTTTATACCAGAGGAAACGATGACTATCTCTATCATTCTGATTTAATGAAATTTGTAAAAATGCTTTTTCTATATCTGCACTCATTGCAATTTTGTGACACCGAAATCTTAGCAATATCGAAGTTAAATCTGCCAATAAGTTCTCACCTGAATCAAGCATATCATTAAGTGATGCCATTCCTGGGTTACTTGAAGAGGCGTCGAACACAATGCGCATTTTTGTTGTAATTTTATCTTCTCTGTACACTGGACGATGCGGCATGTAATATGTTCGCTCATTACTATGGCCATCTGGTACTTCCTCTGCTATTCCAGAATTAATTAGCTCGCGCATTCCAGTGTCGTGTTCGATTAGTTTATTATGATCTTTAAATAATTTAGAACTAAGAGTTTTGAGTCGATTTAGAGCATTATTTTTATTATTATGAAGGTAGACATCCTTATCATATTTTCATGGTAGGCTTACAGTATAACGTCCATTAATTTTCGCTAAATTTGCTTTTTTAAGAGGTTTTGTACATTCGGGGTATGATTTAATCCCAACGGATTCTAAATCCCAAAATTTAGAAACGTCAAAATCGTTTGAATCTTCGATAACATTCAATACATATTTCGTTTGAGTTTGATTATCTGAACAGCCTTGAATTGTCCAACCGAAAAATGTTTCAACTGCAACCAAATTCTCAGTAATATATTCACAATTATCAGAGTTAAATTACCAATAATTGTCTTGGCCAATTAATAAATTAATACCAGTCATTTGTTTTACATTTGTGACTACATTTTCAGCCATGTTTTTAATTTTATCATATATGTCACCAGGAACTGGTATAACATCAGCACATATATTTTGCACAACTGAAGCATAAATTTCTTTAATTTCATCGGAATATTGGCTTTGCACTTTTAATATTACACGTTTTATTTGCTTAACTTTTCTATTGTGGCTACTTTGGCCAAACGAAATAATTCGTGTGGTATCAATACCTACAACCGGTAATTGCAGCTGCTTTGCCAAATATTCGGTAACATATGTTCCTTGACTTCCATTGTCCATAATCACTCTTGTTAAACATTTAGATTCATCACTTGAAACTATCGCTTTAGCGGTTTGTAAATAAACTTCATTTTTTCCAACATTTGACATTGTGTTCAGAGCTGCTGATGAATTTGATGTGCTTGTTTCAGGCAATGCTGGTTTTTCCGTTGTAGTTGTTACCGATTGGCGTTCAACCAAATTGTCTACGCTGTTTAGTTTAAACGTTTTATTCTCACAAATAGCACTCATATGGCGACCACTGCAAATGGAACATTTTATCCACTGATTTTTACAAAACTTAGAAGTATGATTTGCCTTACCACATCTGAAGCACCTACCTTGACCTTTTAATATATTTTTCTTTTGATTAATTCCAATTGTTTTGTCTTTGCAATCACTTGTATTATGATTTGCGCGTTTACAAAAAATGGAATTTCTGTAAATTTGCTCAGAAGAATATAAACCAACGGCTGTGCCTCGTGCTGTCTTTGTTTTGTCATTTTCCCTTTTATCTGCATTGCAGTGAGTTGACATTGTTGCTTTTTCTAATGCTTCTACTTCAATTCTGATATGTTCTAATAACGTTATCAGCTGATCATCATATTTTATTTTTGTTATGCTTTCACCATTTTCTGTCGCCGTTGAATTGAGCATAGTCGAATGGTGAATACCTCTTTTTTTCTCTTTATGAAATTCTACTCATATTCGGAGGAATTGCTTTTAATATTAGAGAGTATACCATGATTGTGTATTGAGAAGAAGGAACGCCGAGAGCCGTGAGTGTTCTAATTGATGATTTTGTTTCATTATACAAACTTCGTAAACCTTTTATATTCGATGATGAATGTACAGGTTGAACGTTAAGTAATTTTTGGATGTACTTTTCGATTATCTTTTCTCTGTCTCCATATTCTTCCAACAATAAATTTAAAGCGTCTTTGTAACATGCTTCTGTTGGAATGAATCCCGCTATTTTCGCTGCTGCTTCACCGACTAACGCTTCATTTAAATAATTAAATTTTGTTGCTGCATCTAGCTTTTTATTATCATGTACAGCTACTTTAAATTGCTCCCAAAAGGGCAACCAACTTTCAAATGCTCCGTTAAATTTTTTCAATTCTATAGGTTTAAGTCTGACTCCGTTACTGTTATTGGAATTTTCAAAGCCCTGAATTATACTTTCCTTAAGGTCTGAGTGAAATGGTTCGTTGCTGGAAATCTTCAGCCGCTGTATGTTGTATTCAAGTTTCGCAATAACTGCTATTGCTTTGTCATCATAATCAATTACTATGTCAAAATCTTTGTCATCCTGAACCATTTCATCAGCCTTTTTTAACTTTTCGTGGGCGTTCTGAAGCCGCTTCAGGTTAATAGCCAGACCTTCTTCAGTAATGTTATCAGGCTCGTTCAAATAATTATTGATCTGATTACACAACTTTGTAAGTTGTGTGCGGCACGATGTCCTATATAGTGGGTCGCTCATATTTTATGATGAATTTTATTTTACGATAAAATTTAAGTATTTAAGTTTCTTTTACACTCGCCCGTTAGATATTCTTCGTTTATAATTTTGATAAAAATTTCTTTTTTAATTCGCTTTTAAATTTTACGATAAAATTTAAGCATTTAAGTTTCTTTTACACTCGCCCGTTAGATATTCTTCGTTTATAATTTTGATAAAAATTTCTTTTTTTTTTAATTCGCTTTTTAATTAAATCGCTTTTTACTTGCACTATTATATTAGAATATCGACAGTTGTCTTCCCGGGTTTCGGCACCATGTAGAAAATATAGTTTTCACATGAAATAAAATACAAGTGTATGCTGCGAGTGTGCATTTCTTACTGCTTTTAACAAAAAAGAATAATTCAATAGTAAGTATAAAGTTAACAAAAAAAGAGATTAAAATATTTATTTATGATAAGAGATAAGTGATATTTATGATATTAAGAGATATTTTTTACATAGTGTGTACGATCTTAGGTGATCGTACATTTTCCCTAAAAATAGGCAAGGTTATTTGCAGCTGGGCAGTTATTGACTAGAACCAAAGCATCAGACTGTCAGTTCGACGACAAGAAATGCTGATATTTGGTATTTGGTTAGTAATTGGTGTCATGATGTAAGTGCCTTTGAAAATGTTAAATACCCAGTAGAAAACGGATCGATCCGTCATCGAAGACGTCTTCAAGACATGGATACATACATGAAGACCGATCGATCCAAATGTATGACGGTCTTCGAAGACACTTTCATACAAATTAGCCAAATGTCTTCAATGAATTTTTGCGTACATGTCTCGAAGACCGTCTCGAAGACCATGTCTTGCATAACGGACGCATTCGACAGAAAGTTGTGCGGTCTTAGTGCAGTGCTCATATAATTTTTTCACCCTTTTTTTATTTCTACTCTTTTATTGCGCTCTTTAAATTTTAAATGAATTTCAATTTTCTCTTTAAATAAGTAGAAAGAAATTGTTGTATTTTGTACTTTTATTTATTTTATATAATAATTTCTTAAATTACATTCAAAATTAAAAGTTTTAAAAGTAAATTATAAATTTTATTATAAATTATTATAAATTTTATTAAGATATTAAAAATAAACTAGTAAAAACTAGAAAACATAATGAAAATTAATTTAAATAATTAACTTAATATAACTTAGCATATCTAAAATTAACTAAAATTAATATAAAATAATTTATAGCATTTCGCTATCATCAATTGTTGAAGTTTTATATGTTTTCAAAAGCGTTGAAGAGGATTTTGGTACAATTAACCCTTTTGATCTTAAGATCTCTAAAATGTCATTACCACAACGCCTGTTAATCCTGTGTTTTTTAAATATAACAGCTAATTTTTCACAAGTGTTTTTAGTTTTTTTATTTTCAACATCCTTTGTTTCGTTTCCTAAACAACTTTCACTGGAATTATTATCTTCAATATTAATATCAATATATTTTCCAGGAACTAAGTCACTATTTAATTTGTTTTGATTTAATTTCTTTTTTTAATATTTCGTAGTTTAATGATTTTGTTTCTTTAT